TAAAGTTCATTGAAGGGAAGTGTTATTTAACAAGAAGAGAGAGCCGAGTCCTGTGGGGAGCAGACTGTAATATCTTCTGATGCGCGCCCTTTCCTCTGGCTGCCTTGCCAGCTGCTCGCCTTGCATACAGAGAGAGACCCAGGCTGGAGGTGTCTGCAGCGCCCCCTGGAGCTCAGCCTGGGAAAGGCTCAATGCTCTGCAGTGCTACTTTTAAACTCGATCAAATGGTCAAAGTCTCAGATTAAACATGGGCTCTCAGCTTTACTTTAAGAATCTCTTTGTCTATCTTCAAGAGTATCTGGTGTCTTTTTTAAACCATGCATTTGCTATAAATTCTGGGAGTGAAAATGAATTAACTCTGCATATTTCTCAATATTGTACTGAGAGACAGACTCATTTCATTTAGGGACATCTAATGAAGTCTCTGATTAACAATCAGCTGTATGACCGGTGAAGCGACCTAATTAATATTCATTCCCATGATATCTACTTGTTGTATTATAACAAATACGTAAAATGTAGCTCCTTATTTTTGGGCCCAGCAGGCTGCTATATTCATAGCCCAGTCAAGCCACTGAAAACACTACAGCATCTATCTATCGCCTGACCATACGAACTCTGGCCTAGAGAAGATCACCCCTGGGACCTGTGACATTGGACTCACTTATCCTGCAGACAGCTGACATGGCAATGAGAAACATGAGCACAAAGACCACGGAACAAGGAGCCGAAGTTGGACCAGTCCGTGGTAGCCTAGCCTTGACTGCAGGTTGTACAGCTCTCAGTCTTTTTCTTCTGATCCAACAGAGTGGGATCAGATCTTGGGCATCCAGACTACAGGTAGGAGCTCAGCTAGTTGCTCTTCCCCAGCTAATCTGGAGCTGTGTTCCCTGGTCAAGAAGCAGAACAGGGTGGAGAGGGCTGCTGATCACAAGAGGCCTGCGCTGATCCTGGACGGATGCTCTTCCTATGTTCTGCTCTGCTGAGCTTCACTCAGCTCAGTGCCTGACTGGGCACAAGGGTCAACTGTCCTGCCTGCTTACCCCAACTTACTGGGAAAGGCACGTTGAAGCCGATCAATGCAGACATCAGTTACAGGCGAAGAATACAGCAAATCGGCAATCAGAGATTCCCACGTCTGGTTTCACCTTGCTCTGTGTACACACAGCAACCTGCTTCATGCTGATGGGCATGGAGGGCTCTGTCCCGCTCACTGAGCTGTAACCCCTTACTGACTCTATCTGTCTCCTAAAGCTCTGGTGTGGAGTT